TGATTAACCTCTAATTTGTGGGGCAGCAAAACCTAGAGTTTGGGATTCGAAGCCCATCACTACCCAAAGTCCTTCAAGTCTCTTCCTTTAGGCCTACTCAGCTACTCAATTTCTTTTCCCTCAATTCCAGCAAAATTCTTGGTTCCATGAGCTTTCAGCCATCTGCAGCTGCTGGGCTCTGCACTTACCGCATGAACCACAGGCGGCCTTTCTGCCAGACTCCAGCTCCTCCTCCGGAGGCAGGGAGCCATGGGAGGGACACAGGATAAACAGGCCAAGTCCCGGCCCCTCTGGGAGCTTAATCCCAGAACGTCTAGTGTTGTCTGGGCCTGAAGCCGAGTATGACTTGTACTGCAAAGAGGTACAAAGTTCTGAGAGACGCCTTGAAGGGCTGTGAACCCCTTTACGGCACAGAGGTTTCCTAAGGAGCTCAGAAAGCATAGATATTTTTAAAGAAGTGGGTGTCCCACAAAACGCAATTTTAGTTTGTCTTTTTGAGTCTAAGGGAGATCCTATCTGCAAAAGAAAGAGAAGTTGGGGGTGTCCCCAACTGTGTTGGCTCTCTAGTTCACTGTTGAATTTTAGGACTGAGGAAGCAGGCTCCAGTGCAGCAACTGGTATTCTCAAGGTCACAAGCGAGCAGCTAGTAGTACGGAAGTACGTCCCGACCCTAGTTCGTGGACAGGTCTCAAGAACGCGCTCTCCCTGCTGGTGTTTATCCCGCAGTCACGCCTGCTCCCAATCCCCAGATCAGTGGGCAACTTGACACCTGCTTGAGCGGCCGACCCTGAAACCCGCCTGCCCTCCGCCAACCTCGGGGATGCGTGGGAGGAGTGCTGGCCCGGCACTCACGTCCCAGTCCCCGAACTCCGGGCAGAGTCCGCCAAACAACAGAACAGTCCTGGCCCGGCCCAGCCCAGCCCCACCCCGCTCCACCCCGCCCCTCCGCGCCGCAGCCGCACGTGCAGAGCCTCGTGCAATCGTGCCGGCCCCGCCCCCTCAGCCCATTGGCTGCCTTGCGCCTTTCCCTCGCTGCCCCGCCCCTCGTGGTTCGACTAGGCTGCCGCTCCACGTGACCCTCGGGGCAGGGCCGTGGCGCCCAGTCCCGCCTCCCCCCGGGGTAGCTTCTCTGAAGGAAGAAAGAAAAGGAGGCCGCGATAGACTGGGAGGAGACCTGGAGTCACGGAAATGGTGGCTAAGAGGACACGACTGACTAAAACGAAGCCGGGAGCTCCACAGAAGGCCACGATGCTCCGGGGCGGGAGAGGCGATGCTCCTCACCTGGCCCCGCACGTGTCTAACTCGTTTGGCCCCCACAGCCAATCCCGGCTCGAAGAGCTGTGCCCGCCCTCACGCAGAGAGCACCAATCGGAAGCCACGCTCTGGGACCGCCGGCCTGGCCTCATGAATAATGAATGAACGGGACCCGTCCGCGGGCGGGGCGGGGACGGAGGGAGGCGGGGGTGCAGTGGCGCGTCTGCGCAGTGCTGCCCGTGTCAGCAGCTGCGGCGGGTCGAGCCGCTCCGGCCCATCTCGGGGTGCGGGCGGGGGGAGGCGAGGCGCAGGAGCGGGGCTCGGGGCACGATGTCCGACGCGGGCGGCGGAAAGAAGCCGCCTGTGGAGCCGCAGGCGGGGCCGGGCCCTGGGCGTGCTGCTGGGGAACGGGGCCTGTCAGGCTCCTTCCCTCTGGTCCTGAAGAAGCTGATGGAGAACCCCCCGCGCGAGACGCGCCTTGGTGAGGGGGGGCGGCTCGCGCGTGTCTGGAGGCGGGGTTTCTGCTAGGGCGGGGCCTTGTGGGGGCGGGGCGGGTCCGGTCAGAGGTCAGGTTGAAGTGGTCCAGCCTAGGGGGGATTTTGCGGGCCAGTAGATGACTAGGGGCCTGCTGGACGAGGCCTGTGGTCGAGAGAGAGAGTCAGGGGCTGTCTGGAAAGGACAGGTCAATGGAACTTTGCAAGCAAGCAGCCACTTACTAAATGGGGCTCCAGCGGGACTGCCTGCATCCAAATCCCTAGTAAGCCGTTTGCCTAAAATGCTAGTTCCTGGGCCTCACCCAGTCTGCGGATCCTGGGACTGAAGCTTGTATTTTAAGAAGCACCCCCCCACTGCACCACCGTGGGTGCAGAGTCTACTACCAAAGTTTGAGGAAGCACTGATCAGTGTACCAGATGGCCTTTGTACGTCTTTGGCCCGTGCTGGAGGAGGGCGATTCTTCCTCTCTGGGAGTGGACATTGAGCAGGTCTAGTGTGGCGCTTTACTGGAAATGTGTCCCTGGGTGGCTGCTTGATGTGCAGATGGAGGATGCGGTGTGGTGCGGAATGAGGGTCTGCGGTGTCTTGAAGGGGTGAAGGATGGGTAAAGTAGGGCTGGGCGTGCCGGTTAGAGTGCAGCCACTGAGGCCCCTCCCCTGGTTAACAACGGTAGGACCAGCTTCATAGTATTGCCAGGGCCACAAGGGTCCCTGGGGCTTTGTGTGGCAAGCGGGCTTGGCCTGTGTATGTGGCCTGGAAGAGCAGCAGGACTGCCACCTATTGTGAGGTTTTAGGTGCATTGAGGTGTGCTTTCTGTCTGAGACCTTCGAATTTTCGAGAGCTTGGTGTAATTGGGGTATTTGGGAAGGAATGGGCTTTGTGTGGATCGCCTGTAGTGGCAAATTCATTTCCCTTTCTACAATGCCATTTCTCTTCTTCCCCTGAGTGTGTTCTGGGGCTGCTGTGCTTATGGTTGTCACTGTTGGGTTATAAATAGCTTCCGCTCATCAGGTGAGGCCAGGACCTCATGGGCACAAACCCTTCTGCTTGTTTGAAGACGACACTTTGCTTCAGATCTGAGAGTGAGACAGACAGCAAGGGCTGGTGCTCACATCTGGCAGGTCTCTCTTAAGATTTCCAGCCAGCCGCAATCCACAGAGTGATTTTTACCTTACGTTTGCACAGGCTCACAAACATCTGGACACAGTTAATCTTGTTTACCTTATTAGCTACACTTTGCAGTTGAGGAAAGTTGAGAGTCTTGCAAGGTGTCAATGCTTTCTCAAGGTCACATGGGTGGGCCTTCTGGCTCTCCATTTGGTGCTTTCTACTGTATCAAGCTGACAACCACTGGTGTCAGTCCTTGTGATCTTAGTTCTGAACATGTCAGTCATTTACCTTTTGCAATTAATTTAGAACTTCACCTTACAAACACTGAATTAAATAGCCTGACTGATTATAGTGGTGCTTGCTTTGTGTTCACAGCACTGGAGAGGTAGAGGCAGGGGGATCACTGGTTCAAGGTCATCCTCTGCTGTACATCAAGTTTGAAATCAGTCTGGGCTTCATGAGACCCTGTCTCAGAAAACCAGAAAAAGAAATAGTTTTAATTGCTCTGGTCAGGCAGAATGAAACTTACTGTTGCTTGTCCTTCTGTGAGGCTTTTTTATCTCCTCCCTTCTCTTACCTCTTTTGATCCCAAGTGACCCCACCCAGCGGGTCCAGTCATCTCTGAGGAGAATATGGAGTCAGATGAGCAGGGAAGCCATCTGGCCCACCCAGCCCACAGGCTGGGACTTTTGTTGCTTCCCAGTTGTTTTTTAAATCAAAGCCTGTTTTGTTTTTTTTTTTAAAGTAGTCTTAGGAATTCAAGTTAAATCATATTAGAAACCTCGAGCAAGTTCTGTTTGTGAGAACCAACCTCCATCTCTCTGGGTCTGGTTATTTTTATTGGGACTAATAGGCTGCCTTTTGGTTGTCTGGTCTTGGGACCCAAGCATGACTGCTTTATCTCCAACATAATAATATTTGATGCCTTTTTTTTCACGTCTAAATCCAGAGTTCAAAGTTGTCTCCCTCAATTTTGAAAACCTATTGTGAACTTGTCATGATTTTATCTCCCACTTCTCTGATTAGCCTCCTTGTTGCTTTGATTTCCTTCTCATCTTGTCATGTTTTTCTAGTCCATGTGCATAACCTCTGACTAAGACAAGTGGGGTCTGATCTTCCCTAATTGATCAGCTTCGCTTTGAGTAGAAACAGTCTGGCTTCTACAGCTCCACCTAGCTCCATCCTCCTAGGAAATCTGCCTCTAGTCTTTCTGCTTGCTCAGGGATAACAGCCTCTGAACTGCTTGCTCTGAAAAGAGCTCCAGGTCTTCTCTGTGAGTACAGCTGAAGCCAACGAGTCTGAAAATACCCTCCAGTCATTATGCAGGTTCCCATAGCCACTGTGAACTTAGCCCTTCTGTTGGCCCCTGAAATCTAGAACAGTCAGACTCAATCCCTAAATCCCTACCCTCGGTAAGCTCACAGCAATAAAGAATGTGTGCTGTGTACTACATACTCAGTAGTAGTCATTTTCTTTTTTTTTTTTTTTTTGGTTTTATGAGACAGGGTTTCTCTGTATTATGTTGGAGGCTGTCGGTCCAGCCTAGCCTCGAACTCACAGAGATCCTCCTGCCTCTGCCTCCCGAGTGCTGGGATTAAAGTCATGCGCCACCACTGCCTGGCAGTAGTCATTTTCATATGTTACCTTTGATCTTGGAAAAAGAGCGTCTTTACCATTATTGACAGTGAAACACTCGGAAGCTAGGTTAAACAACAGGATCAGGTCACATGTCCCACAGGAAGACATAGCTAGAGGGCCCTGGGGCAGGGGAGCCCAGGAGTTGTGGCTAGAGGACCTCAGCCCTCACCACACTAAGATGTCAGGGAAGGCCAGAAGCACTGCTTCCTCCCGTGTAGCCTCTCCATTCTGGGAACACCTCAAGCCTCAGAGTGTGCAGCTAGCATTCCAGAAAGGCCAGACACAGAAGAGGATGTGGTGCCTTCCCCAAAGGAGACCAGCCTGCCTGTTTGGAGCACTGGTTATAATGGGAAGACGGGACATGCTCTGGAAACGTGTATGTGGGGAGTGGATTGAAAACAGGCCTCTGAGAAAGATGGGCCTTCTCTGAGACGCACTGTCCCCTTCCTGGGATGAGTTACTTGCTGTCTTGTGCAGTGTCTCATCGTAGATTCTGTTTGCAGATAAGGAAAAGGGGAAGGAAAAACTGGAGGAGGACGAGTCGGCCGCAGCCAGCACCATGGCCGTCTCTGCCTCCCTCATGCCACCCATCTGGGACAAGACCATCCCCTATGATGGCGAGTCTTTTCACCTGGAGTACATGGACCTGGATGAGTTCCTGCTGGAGAATGGCATCCCCGCCAGCCCCACCCACCTGGCCCAGAATCTGCTGCTGCCTGTGGCAGAGCTGGAAGGGAAGGAGTCTGCCAGCTCTTCCACAGCCTCTCCACCGTCCTCCTCTACTGCAGTCTTTCAGCCCTCGGAAACCGTGTCCAGCACAGGTTGGTGACAGGCCTGTGGGCAGGCCCACCTGTCTCATCTAAGGAGCCCACTTCCCACTAAGTTCTCCTATGTCCACACGCCCTGTGTACCCTTCTTCTTTCAGAAGCAGGTCCTGGTGGGCTGCAGACTAGAGGAACCCCGTCCCGTAGTCTTCAGCACTGACGTAAGGCTGGGGATAAAACAGGAGTTACACCAGTACACATTGGTCTTCCTGTGCTGGGCACTGCACTGCTCGGGACGGTGGAATGAGCTCCCAGGCTGCCACTTGCAGTAGAGAAGTCCCGCTCTGCGGTTGATACTGTTCTTATGTCACTGGTATTTTGGCCACAGATTCTCGTGAAGTGTAGGCAATGTTATTAAACACCACTGTCATTGTTGTCCTGACTGTGAGCGTTAACTAATACTCAGGACTTACTCTGTGCCAGGCATTAACAGAAAGTCATCAAGATGATTTTACGAGATTATTGTACTACCATCCCTCTTTTGTAGACCAAGAAACTGAGGCACGGAGAAAGTAAGAAACTTGCCCACATCACCCAGCTGATAGGTACTCAACTAGCACTTGTGACCAGGATGCTTGTCTGCATAGGCAGGTACTGCTAGGCACTGGCACAAATGCCATTCCCACTGCTCCAGAATCATCTTCAGGGTCGAAAACACCTTTACTGTTTTGGTTTGGATGTTGGTTTTTTTTGTTTGTTTGTGTTTTCATGTCTGAGCATAAGCCCACCAGGAAAGATGTGTTCCCTGTTTGAGAAGCCACACAGTTTCTGCAGCCTTAGAGACATGATGGCACATGTCTCCAAAGATACACCATGAGGCTCTCATGGTGTGTTTCTGTTCAACTTTTCAAAAGGGAAGTTTTTTTCAAATAAAATTTAAAAAGAAGTTGGAGTGCATATCACTAGTAGAGCATTTAATTATGTATCTAAAATATTAAGCTGGGCGTTGGTGGCGCACGCCTTTATTCCCAGCACTCGGGAGGCAGAGGCAGGCGGATCTCTGTGAGTTCGAGGCCAGCCTGGTCTACAAAGTGAGTTCCAGGACAGCCTCCAAAGCCACAGAGAAACCCTGTCTCGAAAAACCAAAAAAAAAAATTAAGATCCTTGGCCGGGCATTGGTGGCGCATGCCTTTAATCTCAGCACTGGGGAGGCAGAGGCAGGCGGATGGATCTCTCTGAGTTTGAGACCAGCCTGGTCTACAAAAGCAAGTTCCAGGACAGCTTCCAAAGCCACAGAGAAACCCTGATTCGAAAAACAACAAAAAAATCCTCTTTTTAGGTTTATTATTTTTAATTATGGGAAGCAGGTGTGTGCACTCGGGTACAGGCACCTGTGGAGTCTAGAGAAGAGCACTGCATCTCTTGGAGCTTGAGTTTTCCGGGTGATGGATGGTGTCTGACATGGGTTCTGGGAACTGAACTCAGCTCAACTTCCAAAGCAGCACATGGTCTTAGGCATTGTATCTCTGTTCCAAAACCAAACAACAACAACAAAAAGGCAGATTCGGTGTCATATATTTGTAATTCTTGCTACTCAGAAGGCTGAGGCAGGAGGATCACAAGTTCAAAGCTAATCTAAATAACATAGCAAGACCACTATCTTAAAAAATAGAAAAGAGGCCGGGTGTTGGTGGCGCACGCCTTTAATCCCAGCACTTGGGAGGCAGAGGCAGGCGGATCTCTGTGAGTTCGAGGCCAGCCTGGTCTACAAGAGCTAGTTCCAGGCCAGCCTCCAAAGCCATAGAGAAACCCTGTCTCGGAAAAAAAAAAAAAAAACCAAAAAAAAAAAAATAGAAAAGAGGAGCCAGAGATGTACCTAATTGGCAGAGTGCTTGTTTTGCATTCAAAAACCGTGGGTTTGGACTGGATAGATGGTTCAGTGATTGACGGTGATGGCTGCTCTTCCAGAGAATCCAAGTTCAATTCCCAGCACCCACATGGCAGCTCATGACTGTAACTCCAGTCCCAGGGGATCTAATACTCTCTTCTGGTCTCTCTGGTAATTAATTAAATTTTAATTAATTAAATAAAAATTGAAGATAGAGGAAATGGGTGGGAAACATGACTCAGCCATTAAGAGCCTTTATTGTTCATACAGAGAACCTGAGCTTGGTTCTCAACACCCACATTGTGGCTCACAACCTTGCATAACACCAGTTCTAAGGGATCCAGCAGGCATGCACATGGTGTATATGACATGTATGTATGCAAGTAAATCACAGAACTCTGCCTGCTTCTGCCTCCTGAGTGCTAGGAATAAAGGCATATTCCTAGGCCACTGTGCCCAGCCTAAGGAAGGATTTTTTTTTTAATGTACATTGGTGTTTTTGCTTGCATGTGTGTCTGTGTGAAGACATTGGAACTCCTGGAATTGCAGTTACAGACAGTGGTAAGCTGCCATGTGAGTGCTGGGAATTGATCCCAGGTCCTCTGGAAGAGCAGAGGTGGTGGCACATGCCTTTAATCCCAGCACTTGGGAGGCAAAGGCAGGCGGATCTCTGAGAGTTCAAGACCAGCCTGGTCTACAGAGTGAGTCCCTGCACAGGCTCCAAAGCTACAGAGAAACCCTGTCTCAAAAATCAAAATAACAACAAAAAGGAAAGTGGAAGTCTTTAATTTTTCCACTCATTTTATAGAGAAGGCATAAGTAATATGTGTGCTTTTGTATCTGACTTCCTTTATACAGTATTTTTGTGAAAGTCATCTTGTCACTGTGGGAGAGGTTTGTGAATTTTTTTGGTGAATAATACTGCGTGAATATGCCACAGTTTAGCCATTCTGCAGTTGAAGGACAGTGGAGCACACTCTGTAGTCTGGTTGGGGTTCTGAACAATGCTGCTATGAACATTTGTGTGCCTGTCTCCTGGTAGATAGGTGCATGTATTTCTCTGTGGCATTTACTTAGGAATAGACATAACGAGTCAGTGAACATGCAAGTCTTCATTGCCTCCTCCTCCTCGTCCACCTTCAACAGGGTCTTCTATGTAGCCCTGGCTGTCCTGAAACTCACTGTATGGACCAGGCTGACCTCAAACTCAGATATCCACTTACCTCTGCCACCTGAGTGCTGGGACTAAAGACATGTGCCATCATACCTATCATTATTTATTTTACAAATGAGTGTTTGCCTGTGTGTGTATATGTGTATCATATTATAAAGTGCCTACAGAGATCATGGGAGGGCATTGGATCCTCTGAGACTTGAGTTACAGATAGCTGTGAGTTGTCATGTGAATGATAGGAACTGAACCTAGATCCTCTGCAAGAGCAGTAAGTATTCTTAACCCCTGAGCTCCAGGACTCACACAGATAACACAGGTATACACTTGCGTTTGTGTGTGTGTGAGCGTATGTGTGTGTTTGGGTGTCTTACGTACATAGCAAGACCTATGATGGCCTAGAGTTTCTGATCCTTCGGCCTCTACCTCTCCAGTCCTCAGGTTATAGGTTTATACCACCACACTCAACCTAATTCAGTTGAAAACCTAAATTTGATTATGCTACTCTTGTGAACATTCCAGTGACTTCCTCATTTCAAGAGAAAAGTCTGTATCAGCAACATGGACATTTAGGGCAGATAATTTTGGGAGGGTTGTAGAAATAGCTTTGTTTTTAATTTTGACATCTTCTGTGTTGTGGGGTGTGTAGCAGCCTTCATCATGCTAGTTGCACCCTGGAATCCTGATGTGGCCAAATATTTCCTGCAGGACAAAATTGTTCCCTGTTAAGAACCATAGCTTTGCAGGGTTGTGGTGGCACACACATCTTTAACCCTAGCACTCCTGAAACAGGCAGGTGAATATCTAAGTTCAAGGCCAGCCTGGACTACAGAACAGCCAGAACTACACAGAGAAACCCTGTGTCAAAAAAAAAAAAATCCATGGCTTTAGCCTTTCTGTTACACCGTATTGTCTCTGCCAGCTCTCTACCAGAGATAGTTTACATTCAGTAACTATCTATTGGCTCAGTATTTGGTGTACTCCTATTGGTAGCATTGAACATGTAGGGCAGAGGTTCGGTTTTCTTTTAACACAACTCTTATCTCAACACACAACCTTTGAACTCTAAAATTGACATTAATCCAATGTTTACCTATAAATCAGCCAGCCATATGAAACAGGAAAAGCAAGGAGTCAGAGTCAGCCAGGCCAACAGTCATATTTTACTTCATTTATTTACCTGTGGGTTACTTGAAAGCCAGTTGCATTTATCTGAGCCTTGGTATTCTTTTCTGTAAAACTAAGCTGATACTTATTTCCTTCAGAGTTGTGAGGCTAAATGAATGAGCACAGCAATTGATGTGGGAACTCAAAAACAGAACCAGGCCAGCTCCAGCCTGTGTCCCCATCCTACTGTTGCTCACGGAGAGAGCCAGCTGTCTCCATTCTTGGAGAACTTGACACACAGGAGGTTGAGGGATATAATAACTCAGTGTTTTTCTTACAACTTCTTGGGAACCAAAACACTTAGAAAATCCTGTCCATTTTGAGGGTCTCTGTTTTCTTCGGTGTGTTCTGTTCTAAAGGGGAGGAACTCATGGGTTGCTGCTGGTGACTCTGTGGTTGAGCTCATGCTGAGCTTTTGTGGGGCCTGGGTTTGATTCACAGCACACAAAAACGGTCAGAGTCATTTTAGGAATTGAATCACATGGGCCTGTCTGTCTGTCTGTCTGTCTGTCTGTCTGTCTGTCTAAGGCCTGGTGATGTGCTTAAGTAGCAGTGGTTTGTCTGGTGGGACGATGTGTATCTTCTCTGCCTGGCGAGTTGCTTCTAGATCTTCCACCTCTGCCTTTCAGAATCATCCTTGGAAAAGGAGAGGGAGACTCCAAGTCCCATTGACCCCAACTGTGTGGAGGTCGATGTGAACTTCAACCCTGACCCTGCTGACCTGGTCCTCTCCAGTGTGCCAGGTGGGGAGCTTTTCAACCCTCGGAAGCATAAGTTTGCAGAGGAAGACCTGAAACCCCAGCCCATGATCAAAAAGGCCAAGAAAGTCTTTGTTCCTGATGAGCAGAAGGTAAAAAAAAAAGTCCTTTATTAAAGACACAGCAGTGGTTTGAGAGTCTTAGGTAAGCTGTGGCATAGCTTAGCAGTGCAAGTCAGTGGCTCAGTGGTACAGTGCTTGCCTGGGACACATGAGGCCCTGAGCTCCATCTCTAGCACTTCAAAGCCTCCTGAGTGCTGGAATTAAAGATGTATGCTACTACCACCCAGCTCTCTCTCTGTCTCTGTCCTCTCTCTCCCCCCTCTCTCTCCCCTCTCTCCCCTCTCTCTCCCCCGTCTCTCTCCCCTCTATCTCTTTCTCCCCCTCTCTCCTCTCCTCCTCCTTCTCTCCCCCACTCTACCCTCTCCATCCCTCCCTCCCCACCTTCTCATTTTTTGAGACAGAGTTTCTGTGTAGCCTTGGCTGTCCTGGAACGCACTCTGTAAGCAGGTGGATCTCTGTGAGTTTGAGACCAGCCTGGTCTACAGAGTGAGTTCCAGGACAGCCAGAGCTGTTACACAGAGAGAGAGAACTAGAGTAGAGTAGGGACTGTGCTTCCTCATAAGTGATTGTGAGGAGATTATGGAGAACCCTTCCTACTGTGGGTACCACAGAAGTTCTGTGCTTGGAGTTACATCAGCAACAGTTTGATGTGAAGAAATGACGAGGTGTGGTTTGGCCCCTGTGACTCTGATAGTTCCCTCATTCCCAGAGCCTCTGGTTAGTGTTCCACCTCCCTGCCATAGTCAGCCATCAGGAGAGAAGTTGATCAACAACAGAGAGTGAGGTTGAACAGTTTTAAAGGACAAAAGACACCGTGTAGTGCTGTGGGATGACCTAGAGCAGTGGTTCTCAGCCTTCCTAATGCTGCGGCCCTTTCATTCTTCATGTGTGGTGACCCCAGCCACACAGTTATTTCATTGCTACTTCATAATGTTATGACATAATGTAAGTAAGTATCTGTGTTTTCCTATGGTCTTAGACAACTCCTGTGAAAGGGTTGTTTGGCCCCACTACGGGATTACAACTCACAGGTTGAGAAACCCTGGCTTAGTGGATAAAGCATTTGCCACACACACACACAAAAGAGAAAGTTGTAACAAGTAGTAAGTATCTAATTCCGGTGTTCTTATTGGGAGAAGGGAGGCAGGGGTAGGAGAATTACTGGAAACTCTGGGCCACCTAACCTGCCAAACACAGTAGTGAACAACAAAGAGACCCTGTCTCAAACAAGGTAGGCAGTGAGGACCAACTCCCAGAGCTATCCTATGACGTCCATGCACCATGGGGAATCACCCACTCCCTCTTTCTTGCATGGTCTTGTAGAGTCAGATTGGATCTTGAGGGACTGCACCTAGCTTGTTGGCTTTTAACCACCACTAGGCATGGTGTGGTGCCACAAGTCTTTAATCCCAGCACTTGGGAGGCAGAAGCAGGCAGATTGCTGCGAGTTCAAGGCCAGCCTGGTCTACATAGTGATTTCTTGGACAAAGCCATATAGCAGAGGGACCCTAAGAACAAGAGAGATATGTTAACCAGTATGCTTAAAGAAGGCAAGGGCAGAGCACAGAGCAGCACACTGCCTGTCAAGGTAGACTCTTGCCCCCACCATGCAGCCTGCCCCTCTGAAGACAGGGCAGTGTGTTGTAATTTTTTTAAAGCAGCTCTCAAGAGAAAGATGCCATGTGACAGAGTTCAGGTGGAGGAGTTTTTGGTTTTTGGAGGGATTTTTTTGAGACAAGGTTTCTCTGTGTAACAGTCCTAGCTGTCCTGGAACTTACTCTGGACCAGGCTGTCCTTGAACTCAGAGATCTTCCTCTCTCTGCCTCCTGAGTTCTGGGATTAAAGGCAAGCATCACTATTGCCCTGCCATTAGGGAAAAGGATCATAAAAAGGAAACGGGAGCCGGGCGTTGGTGGTGCACGCCTTTATTCCCAGCACTCGGGAGGCAGAGGCAGGCGGATCTCTGTGAGTTCGAGGCCAGCCTGGTCTACAGAGCGAGTTCCAGGACAGCCTCCAAAGCCACAGAGAAACCCTGTCTCAAAAAACCAAAAAAAAAAAAAAAAAGGAAACGGGAGAGGGGAGACTGGCCTCCAGGGACAGGAGTACCGGGAGAGAGGAAAGAGAGGCAGAGAGAGAGAGGGAGGGAGAGGTGGGCAGGGCCCTTTAAAAAGGGAATATAGGGGTGCTCTTAGCGCTTATCCTGTCAGAACTCCAAGGACAGGCCAGTACAGATGCCTGAATGCTAACACAGCGTCTCACAGTATTTCTTCCTCTAGGGTCTTATCTTTCGTTCTTACCACAGCATTGGGGGGTAGATCTGGGGGCAGGTGGGAAGGAAAAGTTAGGCTCCCTCAGGGACAACACCGGACACCCACAGAGGGCACTTTCCCATAGGATGAAAAGTACTGGACGAGACGCAAGAAGAACAATGTGGCAGCGAAACGCTCCCGGGATGCCAGGCGCCTGAAGGAGAACCAGATCACCATCCGGGCAGCCTTCCTGGAGAAGGAGAACACAGCCCTGCGGACGGAGGTGGCCGAGCTTCGCAAGGAGGTGGGCAAGTGCAAGACCATCGTGTCCAAGTACGAGACCAAGTACGGGCCCTTGTAACCTGTGCCCCTTGCCCCGCAGGGCACTGCCTGCACTTCAGACCTCTGCCTGGGGCTTCCTGGACCCCACACTCGTGTGGAGACTTAGGACTCTTCATGGGCACATGGTGGCGTACCTGCTCTAGGAGCATTCCCGTCTCAGCTTCATTATAACATGGCCAGCACACGTGGTGACTTCCCCAGGGGACCAGGCTCCTCTCTGATGGGGAACCTGAGCGAATCTACGTAGACGGGTAAATGGCCCAAGTTTGTCTTCTTGGTTGTCCCAGCTGAACCAGAAGGGACCTCTGGAGTCCAGATCACTCTTTACAGAGTGCTCAGGCTTTCCTAGCCTTCCCTCAGTCTCCAGTCTGGACTGACAAGGGCTGTCTCCAGAATGAGTCATGATTGTTGTCACCCTAATGTTGTCTCAGGTAGCAGGTGCATTTCCACTTGGGGTGAGTCTGTCATGCACCTCACTCTCCCCCAAAAATCTTTTGAGTGAAACATTCATTCCCATCTGTCTCAGAGCCAGGACATGCTAATACTGTTACTGATGGAGGGTGGTGGGCCATGAGAGTGAGGTCTCTGCTTAGCCTGGAATTGGGGTGCAGTTGGGGCTTTCAGCAGAAGTGCACCCTACTATTCTTAGTTCCCACATCCCTTTTATCTTGTGACTGTTGGGTCTGAAACAGCCCTGGGATCAGCCCCCTCCACATCCCACTTGCTATGGAAGAGACATTCCCAGGATCGCTGGTTTCTGGGCTCCAGTTACCAGCACCTAGGAAGGCCTTTGTATTTCCAGGCCAGTTTGGAGGTTCCTGACTTCTGCTTGCCTGGCCTCTGGTTATTTTCACCCAATAACCATTCTCAGATCTTAGGTTTAAAAAGAAAACCCATCACCTAGGAGTAGCCCAGGGTACCACTTGTGCATGGTATTTAGGAAACTGGTCTCCACAGTCTTCTGCTGTAGGCACCCGAGAGAGGGGCTGTCACTTGAGAGGCTCCATTGGTTCCTTGCTCTGGCTCACTGATATGTCCCAGGCCAGAACCCAGTCTCCCTAAAGGTAGCAGAGGACCGTACACTTGGCAGATCAGAACCACCCCCCATGAGTGTCAGAAAGCAACCTCATAGGAGTTGCTCTCGCCCAAGTCATAGTACAGCTCTCATAGGACAGCAGGCTCTGGAGACATTTACACTGGCCTGGAGTCCCTCAGTCTTGGTCTCAGGAGTCAGGGGCTGCCCACACAGGTCTGGCCACGGGGTTGAGTGACTCTTACAGCTTTGGCTTCCTCTGCCTCACAGCTGTACCTTTCTCTTGTGTTTGGCTGAACTTGTCCTCTTGCTCTGCCCAGAGGCCTGGCCGAGGAGATCATGGAGCCCTCTGCCTGTGTGGGTCAGTTAGGGCGCCCTCCAGGAGGGTGTGTGTTTGCTCAGGGTGGGCAGCCTGTGTGAAGGAGACAGAGGTGACGAGGGTGCTTTATCATCCTTAACACTGGCTTTATTTTAAATGGTGGCTTAGTTTGGGGCCCCAATCTTTCAAGACTTTTCATAATGATGTTAAGACCAGGGCAAACCGCCTACTGGCCATGGACTGCAGCCAGGAGATGCCCTGCCCTCGTGGGACCTGCACACCACCTCTTGACAAGGGTCCCTGAGGCCAAGGGAGGTCTCCCTTCCGCTGGTCCCTGACCTTGACTTTAGGGTTCTGTAGGAGCCATGTGCACACTTGTCGCTCTATTGTAACCACAAGGGCAGCTGCACCCAGCATGTCAGTGTCCTGCCCCGCTGCCTGCCTCCTGCCCTCCTGGCACTCTCTGGGCCAGCTGTTCACCCAGAGGCAATTCTCATTTCGTTAGTGGTGGACAAGCCTTGAGCTGAAAGGCCCTTTGTTCTCTTTGGCTAGAAAACGTAAGGTTTGTGTTTTTAAGTTTTAGTTTTTAAGGAATGGATACGTACCTCTGGATGCCACCTGTGTTCTGACCCCATGGGTTGGTTGGGGCCTAATGTGTCTCCCTTGGTCCTCCCTTCTGCCTTGTGGTGCCCTCCTTTCCTTCTAGAAGTCGGGGTCTGGATCCTCCTAAAGTATGGCCGCTCGCTTCTTGGAGAAGCCTTTTGAATGAGAAGTGGCAGGTGCAGGAAGGAGCATGCCTGGAGGTTGACATCTTGGAGCAAAAAAAAAGTGTTCAGCTCCTTTGTTGGCCTTAGGACCCAAGGCTGTGCAGAAAGAGTTGATCTCTGCTGTCTGTCTTGCCATGAAAGTCTCCTGATTCCCTCCAGGAGCTGATAGCTGAAGCCTGAGGCTCCTGCATTCAGATCTTTGACATCTTCTAAAGAGTAGCAGGCTTGAGAAGCCAACTTCTGTTTGGCTCTCCATGGGTTCCCTTGGAATAAGAAGTGCTGCCACTTCCTGAATGTTCTGTCTTCAGCTGTGGCAGCTTCACTGCAACCTCAGAAAAGACACATGAATGAGATAGGATGCTACAGGAATGCACATCCAAGAAATGTCTAAATAAAAGAACTGCACATCTGGAGAGAGCCAGAGCCCTGTGGAGGACCTGCCCGGGTCACCTTATCTTTGGCCCAAAGGCTGAGCTTGTGGGTCTGACTCCTGTGGTTGGGGACAGTACTAGGCAGTGAACCTGACCCCAGTCCACAATCCCTGCTGAAAGGGTACTGTGGCCTGCTTTCCCCTCAGGCAGCTCCTCCAGCTGGGGACAGATGTGAAGCTCTCCAGTGGCCCTGAGAAGTATGTTCTCTGTAAGGAGGGGCCTTAGAGCTCCTGGTTTCCAGGGCTAAGCCCCATCCATAGCTTCTTTAACATCTGTTAAGTGCAATAAATTTTTCTAGAAAAAGGCAAAGGTGATTTCCAGGTAGAGATTGCTGTCTTTTGGTATTGGGATGCCAGAACACCACTTGGTTTTATTTTTCTAAGTGCATGTGATTGGTTGAGTGTGTGGGGCTCTGCATCCTCCCTGGGAGCCGCATTCCAGCGGCCCCTCTCCCTACCTTTGTTGGGGGAAAGAGGCCAGGAGAAAACCCCTTTGTCCCAGCTGCAGAGGTAAAAGCAGACAGCAGCCCATTGGCCTTATGTGTGTGTGTGCCTGTGCGAGTGTGTCACTGCTGGTGGGCCGGAGTGATGTGGTAGGGAGGGAAGTTGGGAATGTATCCTTTTCAAACAAAATTAAATATTTTGAGACGAGAATTTGGCCATGGTCTTTTATGTTATCCCCTTCTCTGTTTCCTTTCTCTGTATGTTGGCATGAGAACCAAGCCAGAAAACTTTCTCTATGTAAACACCTCTGTCAATGCCAGCTAGATATCCTTGGCTGAGTTACCTTACTCCTTTGTGCCTGTTTCTTCACCTGTCAAATCAGTGTAATTCCTACCCTGTTTCCTGACACACATCAGAGCAAAGACAGTTTGTACAGACTGATATAACCAGTAAAAAGACCAGAACTCAAACGCCTAATGGCAGCTGTTTAAAGAAAGATCAATTAAGACTGCACATTTAGTTCCCAGCACCCATTTCCAGCTTAGAACATCTGGAAACCCAGCTCCAGGGGAGCTTTCCTGGCTTCAGTGTGCTTGAGCATGAGTGCACACACGTAAATAAATCTTAAAAAATGGCAGCCGAGGACTGGAGAGGTGGCTCAGCGGTTAAGAACACTAGCTGCTCTTCCAGAGGTCCTGAGTTCAATTCCCAGCAACCACATAGTGGCTCACAACCATCTGTAATGAGATCTGGTACCCTCTTCTGGCCTGCAGGGATACATGCAGACAGGAAACTATGTACATAATTAATAAATAAATAAATCTTTAAAAAAACAGCTGGGCATTGGTGGCACACACCTTTAATCCCAGCACTTGGGAGGCAGAGGCAGGAGGATCTCTGTGAGTTGGAAGCCAGCCTGGTCTACAGAGCAAGTTCCAGAACAGCCTCCAAAACAATACAGAGAAACCCTGTCTCGAAAAACCAAAAAATAAAAAAATAAAGCCTGCCGGGTAGTAGTGGTGCACACCTTTAAACCCAGCACTCAGAAGGCAAAGGCAGGTGAATCTTTGCAAGTTTGAAGCCGACTACAGAGTGAGTGTTAGGACAGCCAGGGAGGGCTACACAGAGAAACCCTTTCTCAAAAAAAAACAACAACAACAACAAAAACTTTTTTATATTAAAAAAAAATCCAAAGCTGAATGTGGTGGTTGAGTATGTCATCCCAGCAACTCCTCGGCTGAGATTGGAGAACTCCTGGTGAGCCAGCAGGTGAATCAGCCCCGTGGAAACAGGAGAGACCCTGACTCAATTAGGTGGGAGGTAAGAACTAACTAGTTAATGTTGTCTTCCAGCCTCCACATGCATGTGTATCTCCTATGTTCTCACACAATACACCACAACAATAACTACAAAATTTAAAGTCCTACCCCTTTAATTCCATCACTTAGGAGGCAGAGGCAAGTGATGTCTGTGAGTTCAAGGCTACCCTGGTCTACATAGTTCCAGGACAGCCAGGACTACACACAAAAAACCCTGTCTCAAAAACTAAATAAATAAATGTAAATAAAAAGTAAAAGGGCTGGAGCTTGGTGGTAGAGGCAGGTGAATCTGTGAGTTTGGGGCCAGCCTGGTCTACAAAGCTACACAGAGAAATCCTGTCTCAAAAAAAAGAAGAAAAAAATAGAGCAGTCTCATAAGCAAGGCTGTAGCATTTGCAGAGCACTAGCCCTGTCACTGTTTATGGGCAGTTCTACATTGGCAACTCTGGGGACGCTGCTCAGGCCGGAGTGAAGTGACTCAGATTGGGCCTGCCACCCTCAGTAGTGCCTACAAGTCTTTCCCAGTTGAGCAGTGGTGGCACACGCCTTTAATCCCAGCGCTTGGGAGGCAAAAGCAGGTGGCTCTCTAGCCTAGTCTACAAAGCAACTGCCAAGACAGTCTCCAAAGCTACACAGAGAAACCCTGTCTTGAAAAAACAAAACAAAAAACAAAACAACAACATTCTACAAATAAACACTGAGAAACTCACAAATCCTCCTGCCTCATCCTCCTGAGTACTGGGTTCAATAGGGGTGTGTGTTTGTATGTGTGTGTGTCTTTTAATTGTGTATGTCTCTATGTGGGTATGTGCACCTGAGTGCAGGGGCCTGTGGAGACCAGAGGCATTGGATCCCTTGGAGCTGTAGTTGCATCGGATGTTAGCTACCTGACCTGAGTGCTGGCAAAGGAATCCAGGTCCTCTGCAAGAGCAGTAAGAGCTCTTAGCCACTGAGCCATCTCTACAGCCACCAGGTCTTGACTTAAGAGACAACCGTGTTGTTACTGTATCACTCTGACTGGCCACCACCCCCAGGCTAGAAAATTCTATTATCACATTCAGCCAGGAACCTTTTTTTTTTTTTAATTGTGAGCCCCTGCTTACCTTCTGCCAGTGGGATGTACTGCAGGCTTTCAGGGGGCCTAGCCAATGGAAGAAAAGGCTTTGGTCTGCTGCTTCCTGCTATGCTGCCTCTCAACACATAAAGTACCTACCTCACTGTCCTTTTCCACCCTCAAAACACTCTAGAAGGGAAACGCTAGTTTCCCTTCTAGAAAGCTGGAAGGAAGGAAGGAAGGAAGCTGAGCATTGCATGCTGGCTCACACTCTTGAGTGTGAGGCCAGCCTGCTCTATAGAGGGAGCTACAGGACAGCCCGGAGTATGTAGAGAGACCCTGTTTCAAAAAAAAAAAAAAAACAAGGAAGAGACTGGGATTGGGGTGTAACTCAGCAGTGCAGGGTTTGCCCAGTGTGCTCAAGGCTATGAGTTCTATCCCCAGTGCTGAAGTAACGTTACAGAAGAAACTTAGGCTCAGAATTGCTCAAGGTCTCTCCCATATACTATCAGGCTGAGGTTCCAACCTCAGACAGCCAGCCTCGGGTCCTTTTGACTTCTAAGCCCTCATTGCTTTCACCCTTGTTCTCTCCTACCCAAGGTGCCAGTGTCTAGCCCTGCCATGCTAAAAGGAGACCTTCTCCAACTCTCTTTGGCTAGCAGAAATCAGCCACAGTGGCCAGATCCAGATCTGACATTTCCCGGTGGACTGCCTGAGCCCCCCAGACTAGTGGCAAGAGCCCTAGTCTACCTGGCAGGAATGGAGAGAAAGAGAATTGTCTACACGAGAAGAGGGCACTGCCTGATCCTATCCCACACCTGTCCAAATCGTCCCCCGAAACCTAGGCTCGTACACTAAACCTAGGCTCGTACACTAAACCTAGGCTCATACACTAAACCTAGGCTCGTACACCATGATGATTGAGATAGATTGCCGACTTGACAGGTCTAGAGCCATGTAGGAGGCAAACCTCCTGGCACACTTGTGAACAATCCTCTGGACTAGGTTAGCACCTGGGCATGCCTGTGAGGGATAATCTAAATTAGATTGAAGTGGGAAGATTCACCTTAACTGGGAGCAGCACCTTCCCAGAGGCTAAGGGCTTAGTCTAAAAAAAGACAACGAAGGGGCTGGTGTTTCACCTAACCCTGACAGCCTGAATTCTATTCTCCCGCATGGTGGAAGATTTGAAACACTACTGAAGGTTGTCCTCTCACCTCCACACACCTGCACTTACTGCTTCCCCAATAAATATCTGTAAAAATAAAATCTGAGCCGAGCGTTGGTGGTGCACACCTTTAATCCCAGCACTCCAGAGGCAGAGGCAGGTGAATGTCTGTGAGTTTGAGGCTAGCCTTGTCTACAGAGCGAGTTCCAGGACAGCCTCCAAAACAATACAGAGAAACCCTGTCCCACAAAACCAAAAAATAAAAAAATAAAATCTGCCTGTTTTGAGATAGGGATCTGGCTATCCTGGAACTATGTAGACCAGGCTAGCCTGGAACTCTCACAGATCCACCTGCACATCACAGTCACCAAGGTCTGGCTTCTTAGTGTCCCTTACGGTAGGGTGTGAAAAGGGACATTAGAGGCCTGAGAGTCCAGCCACTCACACCTGGGCCCTTTCCCAATTGTAACTCTGCCCTAGCTACACAAGGGACAGGACATTCCCAGTGACATTGTTTACAAATAGAACTGAGTTCCAAAAAGGAAAGTGATTCCCATGGGAGCAAAGCAGTTCACCCTCAACCTCCTCTGCCTCACTGGGTTCCATAACCTCAGGTTCTGGGGCTCACTCTCTAATAAACCATTCTTACTAGTATCTCCTGGGAGTTGCTAGTATATAAATAATGTGGGTGATTAAGAGGCAGGTACCTATACAGCTGTATGGAAGTCAGCATTCCAGGGTGGGGCTTTTTGGTGATACAGGGGTGGTGTGTGTGTGTGTCTGTCTTTGAGACAGGGTCTCACTATATAACCCTAGCTGGCCTGTAATTGTATGTAGACCAGGCTAGCCTTGAACTTACAGCAATCCACCTGCCTCTCCTATTGGATAAAAGAAGTGTGTCACCACACCTTGCTCTGTAACATGAATAAAAGCACAGAGACAGATATTAGGGTTCAAGCTTCAAGCCTGAGCAAAGCAGCCAAGCCAGTAGGTCTTACCTCTACCCAGCTGAAATGGCAATCCTGGCAATCCTGTCTCCATGACTCCTCAGAGGCAAAAGCTCTGAGTTCCTGTCTCCTACTCCTTATATTCCTTTCTCCCCCAGCCATATCCTCCTGTCCCCACCTCCCCAGTGCTGGGATCAAAGGTGTCAGCTCTGTCCTTGGATTAAAGGTGTGTGCCACCACTGCATGGCTTCTACAGCTAACTAGTGTGACTGGCTTTGCTTTTTGAGACTTCAGGCAATCTTTATGAAATCATAGATCATATATCACCACATGACTCATTCATCTTCCTTAAATTTGGTACATTTATTCTCTGTGTATGTGTAGCATGTGTGTATTGTACTCCACTTCTTCCACCGTGTGGGGCCCAGGGCCTGAACTCAGGCCATCAGGCTTGGTGATAAGAGCCACCACCCAACCGAGCCATCTCTCTGACTCCCCAGCTTTTAAAAAATTTCTCTCTCTCCCTCTCTCCTTTTCACCGTTTTCATTTTTGTTTTGAGACAGGGCTCTCCTGTTTTGCTCAGGCTGATCCTGAACCCCCAGCCTCCTGTTCCCCAGGCTCCACCAGGTACTCATGCCTAGTTCTTAGATCAGGTGCCAGTTGTGTTGCAGCACCCACGGCTCTGTCTGTGCTGCCTGGAGAGTTTTCCCGCACACCCCCT